CTTCCATTTTTCTCATTTGGCTGTTTTCATGACTTTTCTCAATGTTTCTGTTACTCATTTATGCATAAAAATGACCAACATTTAGTGAACTACCAACAATCTAATAGTTTACTAGATTTGTTTGGTTTGTCATGTCCTTCCTCTTGTTGGTCTATAGTGAAATGAAAGTTTCAAATTTCTAGGACCTTCCCTAGAGGAGAGTTTGAAGTGTCTTCTACTCTTGTGATTCTCTTTTGTTTCTTTAGGACCTTTAATTTCCTTCTTTCTCTTTACTACCAAGCCTGCTAGGGGTTCCTCCTTCTTCCATAGCCTCCCTTCCACAGGTGTGATGCAGACTGCTTATTGTATTCCACACTTCTAGGTCCCTTCCTTTTGATACTTCATAGACTTTGCTCCTATTTATTATGTCTCAGGCTGGTTCTCAGTATTTCCTCTACTCGGGAAGGACCTTTCTATTTCTGGGATTGATTTTATATATGTTCTGCTACTCTGAGGCCTTAGTCCTTTTTCCTCCTTTTTTCTTCTTACTTTTTTCTCCTTCCTTTTCTCTCTTCCTCTTTCTTCTTCTTCTCTCTTTTTCTGTAGTCTCCATCTTGTCTTTGGTCTGGTCCAGTCTCCAGAGGGTGTGTTTGAGTTCGAGTTATTGCTTACTTATAAAGTTCATAGTATGTATGCACTATTTCCTATACTGAAGGTGTGCTTTATAGATAGTTTTGTTCTCTTTGTTTATCAGCAAGTGTTTTGTTTTTAATTTGAGGATGTGTGAAGAGATTTGGATTTTTCCAGTTTTCATTATCACTTGGAAACGGTATGAATAAAAAGGATTACATTAATTTTTACAGCCCACATTAATTACTTTTTGGTGACACATGGTACAAATAAGTAAAAATTAATTGAATCCATTCTATATCTTTTTCAACAATTCTCTGGATGAGGTAACATAGTATAGGGGTAAGTCAGATACATTTTAAGGGCAGAGGATAGAAACTACTATATTCTTCTGAATGGTAATGGTTGGGAGATTGTGACCTTCACATATCTCTATATTTTAATACATATCTTCTATAGCAATATAAGGACCTCCTTGCATGCTTGATTATTGGAATAAATATTGTATCAAGTATTGGGTTTATAATTTTTTTGCATCTGTATCAGCTATGAGGTACTATTCATAAATATGATGACTAGGCTGTGGTATCTGAAAATTTACTCTTTATAGGACTTTCTCTTCATTAGTGGAAACTGGATTAAGAAATTGAAATTCTGCTGCTATCTTGAGAGCATTCTGTATATTTCTCAACTATTTGTGATGCTAGCTTTAAATTCCACACACAAAAAATTACACTTAGATAGTATTATAATACCTCAGGCATTAACAAAAAAGCATAGAACTAAGTTAATATGGTGACCAAGCTCTTATTGGAGTGGGTAAATGTAGATAAACAGAGCCTGGTGTCAATATGATATTAAAGTTCAAACTAAGGCCAAAGAAGTCAAATTTTATCATTTTCTTTTTGACCATAAAAATTGAAGCATCAAACAATATAATACTTTGATTCTGAAATAAGGTTGATGTATATTATCTATATAAATTCCATAAATATTTATTTAAACTAAACAACACATAGCGATATCACTAGCCTGCCAATATGTTCATGTTGGTTATCACTTTGCAAACAGAGGACTTAGTCACCATAAAAAATAAACAAGGATCTCTCCTACATAGGATAGCCTGAAGAAGGTGTTCAACAAAGGCAGGGAGTACAAAGAAAACATTTGAAAATTTGCAAAAGCAAATACTTCCTTAGCAAAAATTACTACTGATTTCATAGTTACCTGTTTAATGATCAATACTGTATATACTCTTATTTTATTTTTTCTCTATCCTCACATGAAGATATGTTTGTTTGCTTGTTTGTTTTTTAAATTGATTTTAAGGGAGAGAGAGACAGACAGACAGAAGGAGAGAAATAGCTATGTGAGAGAGAAACACTGATCTGTTGCCTCCCATATGTGCCCCGAGCGGGGACTGAACCCATAACGTACGTATGTGCTCTGAACAGAAATCGAACCTGCTATGTTTTCTTTTGGTGCTTGGGAAGATGCTCCAAACAACTGAGCCACACCAGCAAGAGGATGTACTCTTATTTTTATTAGTGAATTATTCAAGCATTGAAGATTATAAATTATCATATACCCAATAAGGAGAGTCAAGGTAAATTGAGAGATTAAAAAAATATAAAAACTTGCTGTCTCCTAGTTTGGTGAGCTATAATGCTGGATTTTTAAACATATTTTTAAATGGCTCAGAAATGTTGGAGCAAGTCTTTTGGGATAGTTAGCTCCTAGTGAAGAGTCAGCCTTATTAGGTCAATAACTAGGTGGATAATTAAGTGAGAAGAGACTGGGCCAGGAAAAAGTCACTTGGTTCTTGACCTGAGGAGATGCTGGCATAGGGGAGCTCTTTTTTTTTTTTTTTTTTACCAATCTTAACTCATTTTGAACTTTTAAAGACCAAGGATGAAGCAGACTACAATGTGTGAAATACAGACTGTATTCAAGCTCTGTTACACCAGCCTTGAGAGTGATCACCTTTGCTCTTATGGAGAAAAAAAAAACAAAAAACAAAAAAAACGTAACAAGGTGCCATGAGAATAGTAATCATTTGAGATAATGAGAAACTACCCAAGGGAAATTTGCAAAAGTTTGGTGGCAAAAAGTAGATAACAAGTTCACTAAATAACTTTCCAATTCTCATTTGAGCATTATTAGTAGACATTTCCATTAGTCCCCAAAACATCTCAAAATGAGTACTGGGAGACTTTAAGTCAAGATTCAAATTATATAGGGTATTGATTAATAAAGTCCTATAACCCTTATTAATCCTAACTTAAATCAGGTCCTTGTCAGCTGGCATTCTCATTTACTTCTTCCTTCCTGAACTCCATCATTTCCAGGATCTCTGGCTCTTTACCATTCAATCTCGGTGTGAATCAATGGACGTAGTTGACAAACTCCTGAGACTTATTTGGAAATGACCAGTTCTCAGTCTGTACAATGCACATGCTATTGAATTCTGAAAACTTCAGAAAGCAGAACTATGTTTAAAATAGATATAGCTATAGTTTGATGTGTTGAGTTTGAAGAGAAATTATTGTGATGTATTTATCTTAATTTCTGCAACTTTCAATAACCAAGGAAAGAAAAATAATATAATAATAAAATGTATCATACTCACTCCAGACTGTTGTACATTAACAACAATCCCTGTAATGTTGTTTTAGTAGATCTTCCCTGCTCTCCACATATTGCTTGCTCTCTATTATTTTTAGTTCACACATCTTCTCCCGCCCCCTCCGGCCTCCAGAGATGTTTGTCTAATGTATTCTGCCATAAAATTCTCCTAATTATCTTCTAGTGGCTTCTTACCATTCCATATAAAGTTTACAGTCTTTAATCCTTTCATTCTCCAATCTATATTTCTTGCTTTCCATAATGTTCTTTTTTTTTCTATTTATAAAATTTCAGTCTTCATTCAGCATTTTATAATTTTTTTCCATTCAGATGACACCATTCTAAATAGTTACTTTTTTTCTCTTTTTTTCAAGTTTCTAATATTTATTAATCAGTGTAAACCCCAACACAATACACTAACGTGATTTTGTGCGATTTGGAGGGGAAATATTTCCTGGTTGAGTGGAAAATTGTGCGGATGGCTTCTAGAACACCTTCATTCTAAGCAGTTTTATAATGACACATTTCATTTAGAAGTCTGGACCTTCTTTCTTCAGTTTGCTGCAACCTACATTCACTGAGTAGAACTTGCTTTGATCATGGGACCCACTTTGTTCCAGGGTTCTGGGTTATTATTTCTGTGCTAACAGACATCTAGATTAAACAATGCCAGGCGCAGGACATACAGCACTGACCCAGTACCTCCAGCTCCAAGAAACACAAAGAAGATCAAGCTTGGATGCTTCTTGGCCTGGCTGAGGATCCGGCAGAGCATGGTTGTGGCAGAGGGCCCAGGAGCGAAGAAAAACAGAACTTCATGGCCTGGGAGCAGGTAGCCAAGTGTATTGGGGGTGAGGGGACAACACCAAGTTTATATTCTTTGTACTTCACATCAATGTTAAATTTCTTCAAGTAGCAATATATAATGGCAATGGCTTCTCATACCATTTATTAGTCTAGAAATCCTCAATAAGTATTTTTTTTTTAAGTTCTACTGATACCAGCGTTTTAATCTCTCTCTCTCTCTCTCTCTCTCTCTCTCTCTCTCTCTCTCTCTCTCTCTCTCCGCAAAGGTATAAATTCCAGGACACTAAAAAAGCGTCATTCTACATTATTTATGGCATGAGTGTACATGTTTCCAATCATCTAGGTACTTTATTGCTCTAATTATAGAGTTTAGTATTGAATTGGCTAGATTATTAGTAGAGTGAGAAAATGGCATAAATGAAATGACTCTTCAATAAAGTCTGGAAAATTATTTATGAATTCTTTTTGTATCCCTTCCCCTCCTTCCATAAATTGAATAAAATGCTTGATTGGAAGGCATATAGTGCTAAAATAAGTTTATAAGAATTTATTGGCCCTGGCCGGTTTGGCTCAGTGGTTAGAGCTTTGGCCTGCGGTCCAGAGAGACCTGGGTTTTGTTCCCGCTAAGGGCGCGTACCTCGGTTGCAGTTTGTCCCTGGCCCTGGTTGGGTTGTGCGGAAGACAGCCACTCGATGTGTCCCTTTCACGTCGATGTTTCTTTCTCTCTCTCTCTCTCTCTCTCTCTCTCTCTCTCTCTCTCTCTTCTTCTCTCTCCCTCCCACTCTGTCTGAACAAAAAATGGAAAATGTACTCGGGTGAGGATTTAAAAAAAAAAAAAAAAGAATTTATTGGACTATTTCTTTTTTTTAATTAAAAATTTTTTCCAATTCTATGTTCAATATTATTTTGTGTTAGTTTCAGGTGTATAGCATATTGGTTATACAGTCATATTCTTTATGAAAACTGTGGAACGCTTCACAAATGTGCATGTCATCCTTGCACAGGGGCCGTGTCAATCTTCTCTGTATTGTTTCAGTTTCAGTATATGTGCTGCCACAGGAGCTCTGGACTTTTTTTTTTTTTTTTTTTCAGTAGTTGCCAAAGAGCTTGAGTCATATATTTTCAAGTGGCACAGATTTACATAAATCTCAGAATATGGAAGATTCATACATATATGTGTGGTGAAGAATACATATGCTTTTATTTGATTTTAAAATGTAAATATAAAATTTATACATTTTAACTTTTTTACCACATGGGGTATATTGTGTAAATATTTATTTAGCAAACATTAACATGACACACATGTAAGGCGGTGTTCTAAGTATAAGTATTACCTCATTTAATCTTCATAGTATGCTGGAAAACTGGACCTTATTGTCCTCATTTTCCATATGAGGAAACTGAATTATAAAGAGATTATGTAATCTTAAGTAGTGTCTGAAAATAGGATTAGATCCAGGCAATATATTTCCAGGATCTCTGCTCTTAACCACCATACTACATGATAATAGGTATCTGAGAAGGCTCATGATCTGGGAAAGAAAGAAATGGGCAAGGAAAAATAGGATTGTGAATAAAGATCTAAAAGTGTGTAGGAGAGAAAAATGGGAGGAAATAATCAAGTCAAAAAAAGAATTTGGATGAAGATAGGGTCAGTCACATTCCCCCTCCCTGTTCTCTCCTTTATCAAGGTGGGAGCTGAGGGGTAAAGGTCAACCTCTAACAAAGCTTCCTAGATTCCTCTTCTTTTTTTTTTCCAAAAGATTGGGAGACCTTGTTGGATTTTCCATTCGATTTCATAAGCTATTTGCAGGGATTTTTATTTTTCGCAATTTTATATTTTGTGGTGGAAGATGATTTGTTGCTACATCACCCATGTGAGTAGGAGTGTTTCAGGAGCTATCAATTTACAGGATATTTTAGAGCTGGACAATTCTCTCACTCACCAGACTCCAGAGATAAGCAATAATACAATTAATGAAAAAGTCATTGTCTAGACCTTGTCTTATTTACCTTCTTTTATCACATCTTCCACTAAAAGATACAGATCAGTGGTTCTCACCCCTTGGTTGCAAAATAGAATCACTTGGAGCAATATAAGAAATACTAGTATCAGGTACCACCCATGCCAAATAAATCAAAATTACTAAGGGTGAGGTCTAGGAAACTATTTTTTCAAATTTATCCAAAGGGTTCTAATGTCCATCCAGGGTTTAGAAATATCTGTGATGATTGTTGGAAGACAATTTGTCATGAGTCTTCCATATTTCTCCGTGTCTTGCAAGCACAGGCACTACCTTTGTTCTGGACTATCTGCCTATTCAAAGATGTTTGCATGGTGAACAGCCTTGGAAGACAGAGACTGTCTTTCTCCAGAGCAAAGACTTACTGCCCATTATGAAAGATTCAGGTTCCTTAAACTCAGGGTTTCTCTACTATAACACAACCCACTACAGGCAGAGGTATACCTGGCCCACTGAACATCAGCTTTTGAGAATTGAGTCTAGAGGAACTGGTGCAAAGGTTGATAGTCTAGATACTGTTACTGCTATAAGTAATACAATGCTTTGTTTCTGACCCATAAGATGTCTCATATCTTCTGGCAGCATCCATGAAATTGTGACAGGCTAAGCCCAGTTCTTGACAATAATTACTTCTTTATTTTTTTAATTAATTAATTTATTTTTATTACAGATGTTTCTCCTTTTCCCCCGACTGATTCTCCCCTCCCCGCCCTGTCCCCAGCTTTGTTGTCCATGTCCATTGTTCATGCATACATGCATTTAAGTTCTGTGGTTTATCTCTCCCCCACCACCCCCTCTTCTGGGGATTGTCAGTCTGTATCCCACTTCCACGTCTCTGGGACTACCCCATTCCTCAGACTGTTATGTTCATTATATTCCACAAATATGTGAGATCATATGATACTGTCTTTCTCTGTTTGGCTTGTTTCACTTAGTATAATACTTTCCTGGTCCCTCCATGTCATCTCAAAGGATAAGAGATCTTTCTTTCTTACAGCTGCTTAGTACTCCATTGTGTATATGTATCACAGCTTTTTTATCCATTCATCTACTGATGGACATTTGGGCTGTTTCCAGTGATATATCAGATAAGGGGTTAATTTCCAATATATAGAGAGTGCTCATACAACTCAACAAAAGGAAGACAATAATTACTTCTTAAAGTTTAATGAACCACCTGCTGAAGATGAGATGATTAAGTCAGAACTTTTTTTGTTTGATGACTATAGTGACACTACCCAAAATGGAAATTTCATCAAGTATTTACCTAAGTTCCTGTGGTACCTCTTCTCCTCACTGTTCTGTATTTTGTTAATTAATGAAATCTAGAATATACTTTTATCTTAGGGGAAGAGAAAATCTTCAAATGGTTGTTGACAGAGAAAATTTACACAAATTTGGTGTTCTGGAAACACCAACATAAAAAAGGCTGATAACTTCTGTTAAACAATCATCCAATAATCACAGATTACTTAGAAAGTAAATGTAGTTCTTTCTGGAATAATTATTTGTTAGGCCTTCTCAGAGTTGATATTATAGCAGATATTTTCATTTATGTTAGTTTTTCATTTTTGTTTATATTACAGTACAATATAATTAATTCATTAAGTATCAGTTGAGCTTTTAAAATATATCTAGTATATACACCTATATAACATTTGCAACTATTTTATGTAACATTAGCGACCATCAACTTAAGGGGAAATGCCAATGATAGTTTATTCACCTTCAAATTTGTTTTCATATTTTAGTATGCAGGTGCTCATATAATCTGATTAATCAGATATTTGATAGAGTCAGAGGTTATGCATTGTAATAAACATCTAAGTAATTATGACTCTCACGCATTTTCAAGTATGCTTTAACAAATACTCTACTGTAAATTATTTAAGCAATCCTGAGGATAAATTAAGACATGAATATTTCTTCCTTAAATCATATTTAAATAATATCAAATGGCATTTAAATCGATCCATTAATCAGTCTTCAGAATAAGGGAAGGTATCTTGTATTTATTATATTTGTAGATAATAGGTACTGGATCCATTCTCCTACTCAGGTGTATGTTGCAGAAGAGCTATTCCAGCAGGCTTAGCAGCTGAGTGGCAACTCTCATTTCCTCCAGATCCACAAATAGAAGAGCTATTTTGAGGGGATTTAGCATCCAGAGAATATTGGAAGATTTCATCTCCCCAGCTCTATGCTCCAGAAGATTATATGGGGCCCTGGTGGCAGCCAAGTGATATCACCAGTTCTTGCCACCCCATCTGAACCCTTACAATTCCTCTCTGTAGGGAGAATATGAGTAAAAGCTGGTGAAGAGTGACTTCTCTATCCTACCCTACTCCAGCTTTAGTTCCATAGCCCAGAGATTCTGCCTTCAGGAGATAGAGGAAAGGCTCAAAGATTGGCAAAATTTTCCAAATTTAATGAAAAACATCAACGTACACAACTAAGAAGCTCAACAAATTCCAAGACCAGGATAAATGCAGAGATCCTCATCTAGACACATTAAAATCAAAATGTTAAAAGCCACAGATAAAGGAAAACTACTGTAACTAGTAAGAGACAAATACCTCATCATGTACAAGAGAACCACAATAAAGTTAACAACTGACTACTCATCAGAAACAATGGAGACTAGAATGCCGTAGGATGAGATATTCAAAGTGCTGGGGAAAAAGCCTCTAAAAACAAGACTCTCATACCCAGAAAACCTATCTTTTAAAAATAGTTTTTATAAAATATTCCAGAATAAACAAAAACTGAGAGAATTTGTTCCTAGTAGATCTGCTTTAATAAGGAAATTTCTACAGGCTGAAAAGTCATGACACTAGACAATAACTTAAATCCACACAAAATATTTAAGAGGGACAGTAAAGGTAGTTATGTTTCTAATTACAAAGCACAGTATAATTACATTTTTATTTTCCTTTCTTCTGTGAGCTGATTAAGTAAGCAATTGCATAGCTTTTTTTCCTCCCTAGCTGCATAAAGATCTGCCACCATCCTGAATGACACAGTAACTATCTGGACCAGGAAGTTCATAACCAACATACTACTTCAATGGAAACAAATGGTCATTGACACCCTTCACCCTGGGAAAGCAACAAAAGAGAGAAATTTGGGGGAAAACTAGCCAAAATGTATAAGACCACACAAGATGTCATCTTTTTGTTTTTTAAATATGTTTTTATTGATTGTTTAAAGAGAGAAGAAAGGAAAGGTAGAAACATTGATGTGAAAGAGAAACATTGATCAGCTGCCTCTTGCACGCCCCTTACTGGGGATCGAGCCCCAAACCCAGGTATGTCCTGTTATTGGGAATTGAACTGGGACCTCTCAGTCCATGGGATAACACTCAATCCACAGAGCCACACCAGCCAGGCAATCAGATGTCATCTTTATGTTTGGATTCAGAACCCATTTTGGTGATGGCAAGACCACTGGCTTTGGCATGATTTATGATTCCTTGGATTATGCAAAGAAAAATGAACCCAAACATAGACTTGCAAGACCTGGCCTATTTGAGAAGAAGAAGACCTCAAGAAAACAACAACAACAAAAAGGAACGCAAGAATAGAATGAAGAAAGTCAACGGAACTATAAAGGCCAATGTTGGTGTTGGCAAAAACTGACTTGGATATTGGACAACAGAAGGAGTAAAGATTCTTCAATGATTTTATCTGTGGTGATTGTGTAGATTTTTTTATGAGAGGACTAATAAACTAAGAACTGAGACCTAGAATAACCACTAAGAAAATAACTCAAAATACACTTAAAATCATTAAAAGTATTAAAATAGTATACTATAAAATATCTAAGTATATGAAAAAAGGCAACAAAGTGAAGCTGGAGGGAAAAAAGCAGATAAGACATAGAAAGCAAAAAGCAAATGGCAGAAGTAAATCTAACTATATCAATAATAACATTAAACATAGATAAATTAAACAATCCAATCAAAGGCAAAGATTTTCATACATCATCATCATCATCTAATAAGATACAACCACATGTTGTTTACAGGAGATACACTTC